CAATTGACTACCTTCCAGTCGTTGCCCACCCCAAGAAAGGGCAACACAATCAGAAATGGCATGAGCATGAATGGGTGACACTGATATTTTTCACAAAGAAAAGGAGACGGGTGGGATATTAGTAAGAAACAGCCAGTGTTCTGACTGTTCTGCTTCTGTATATTTGTTCTTTTACTGTATGATCACATCTCCCGGGCTCACAATAAAGCTGCCTTTGCGTATTTCGTACTTCTGACAACATACGAAGGAAGTGCCAGTTTTGTGCGAATTTTCATCCTTCCGAAGCTTTTTTTTTTTTTTAAATTCACACGTAACATAATGTACACAAAAGGTGGTGCATCAGAGGGATGGAACAGAGATTTTAACGTGTATTGTATAAGTGTGAGAAATTGTCAATATAAGGCATAAAAATCATTGTTTTTAGTCTTGGCTATTTTGGGCTATATTTGTTTTACGGCTCTGGCTATATTTGGGCTATACCTTCCAGTCGTTTGGCGGTTTTTGGTGGGACCATTTGGCAACACTGCTGAAAACTGGAAATCATGGTCAATTTATATAGCGTGCGTATTTGTTCGAGCGATCTCCTTCTCCCCTATATTCACCTTTCGCTATCCACTTTTTCACTCTCCCTCTAATGGCTCAGCTTTGCTTTCCCTGCGTTTTGCTAGATCTGAGTTCTGATGGCGTCAAGTATTGCAAACTGGAAGGCCGTGCACGTCCGTCGTCGTTCACGTCATATCCGCAGACAAGGACATTCTTAAGTCTCAAGACACACATCTTCTTCACAGCTAAAGTTAGTGCATTGAAGCCTCTACGAACTGGGTGGATTCCAGAGGCGACTACGTTGAAAAGAACACCAGGGGCCCTAATCTACATTGCCGTCTGCTGCTCTCGGTCAGCGGTGCGGAGCTCAGCCGATCGCAGCAGGTGCACGATGTTCCCGGCGGTCCCCCCGTTCCGCCCAGTCCCGCCATGTAGATTAGGGCCCCAGCTAATACTACCGCCAAGAACCTTCCGACCGGCCTGGAATTTATTTTGAGAATGGAATTGTTCGAAAACATCACCTCGGACACTCTAGGCCTTGCCAAAGGGACTCGCACAAAAGGACCCCGCCTAGGAGCAACCCATTGCAGTAGCTCGCGAGTCATGTGCGCACTTCTCGGTTCGACGCTCAGGAAACCAAGCACGACGCGATCGTTGTATTTTTTTCCTTGGTATAAAGACTTGAGCCAGCGCGGCCATGCATCAAGGATAAGCATGGTATGGCAATGGTCTGACGCGTCTGCCTTTGGCTAATGCGATTACACACAGCCTTGACCGCCGGAATTCGCTTTTTTATTTTTTATTTTCCTGCTCCTTCCTGCTATGGGCATGCGATAGAGCCAACCCCTAGGCGGAAGACGGGTTCTTCGGAGTCTTCAGGAGGAAACACGCAGCGGTTGTCGGGCGCACGGGTGTCTTTGTAGTTCATGACCGCCGGCGGCGTTGGATCCTTTTCCGCCGTCTTCTCTGGGTATTGCACAGGTTCGTTAAAGCGCTTCGGCCTTGGCTCCTCGTCCGCGATGACGTAAAAAAGACGTTCTTACGGTATCGGCTTTCTTTCCGCGATGCCAGGGGGATGAAGGACTTCTTTTTGCATACGAGGTAGCTGTTGCTGCCGTATTTACTCGAGTTCATTTGCAGCAGTTTGTCCTTCTTTGTTTTTCGTCTCACTTCGTCGTGGGTCCAAGTTTTACCATGTTTCAGAGGCGAACCCGTGCGGTGCCTGAACGCGTCTCCGAGTGGTGTGTTTGCCGTTATATATCCCGCCGCCCATGCGTCGAAAGTAATCCCGAAATGGCGATTCATTGCGTCACATAAAGTCGGCGTGCCACGCTGTTGCGGATGCCGCGATCCTGGCGGTTGGTTGTAGAAATGCCGGCGAAAACGACGAGTGGACGCCAGGGTCGCTGTCGTCGCGGCGTCCCAACTCTCGTCTGCTTTGGCTTCCGTCGTCTGTCTGGCTGCAGAGTAGCCTGCAGCAGAACAGGCTTCTGCCGCATCCACATCCGCTACCGTGACACCGCCTGGATCGTGGCCGGCGACAGCGCGACACTTCTCTGACGTCATCACTCACACGAAAGACAGTCTGCAGACATGTTCTCCGCGGATAATTCTGTCATAAATTTCGCGGAGAACTCCGTGTCCTTTGCATGATGTATGAGCATTGGGACAGCGGTTTTACTCTCCTCGTTTTTTTTTGTTTTTTTTTTTTTTCTTTTTGGTTTTTTGAGAATGGAGTAGAGTTAGTGTTGTTCTTCTAGTATGCGTCCGGCTTCGTTCCGGAATTCAGTCACGTCGCGCCGCTCGTGCACTGGATAATATTTACTATTGATCCGCTGCGAGGCGGTAGCTAGGAGTTCGTATAGGAGCGTGCGCGTGGAGTTATGCATATATGCATGACCCCCTTTTTGTCTAACGAACTTGACCTGACCACTTCCTTAGTTTGCCTTTCGGCGGGTGCGGGCGTGAAAGTTGTCAACGGGACGTGTTTGCGTATGGCGGTTTCAGTCCGTGATGTGTATTGTCCACAGGAGCTGATTGCACTGCGGAGGCTCTGGAACTCGCGGCGTCACAACCAGCGCCGCCGCTAATGTGTGACCTCAGGACCATGAGTTGGTCTATACAGCATGCACGACCAGTGGATAATGTTAATTGTCGGGCACCAATCAAATCCCAAACTTGCGCATTTTTTTTTTCATTCACTTTTTTTTCAAATTTTAACGGTAGTTTTTGGTTTTTCACTATGTACAATAACAGTGCAACCAATCAGCTACCGAGAAAAGTCCACGTCACTGCGATGACTTGGAAACTCCGGTCTGCCTCCGGAGTTTGTACGCATGTGGGTATGCGCCGCTTTCGCTCCCTTCCCACCCTAGGGGCTCAAGACCTGAACCTTTGAACTCATGACGTCAGCAGCGCGTCACTTCCGGTAGGCCGTGGGTGGCGGCTTCCGTGGACTCCATAGTCCATGGATGTTTTAGAAGCCAGGAGTTAGGACGCTGAAGGCGTGGCGACAAGAGCGACATGCGCGTTCGCCCGTACTTTTTACTGGGGCTTCTGCTATCAACCGCCAGAATCCAGACATCATATCAGCATGCCGGTCGTGATGTCATTTGTTGTCGCTTCGGGTCCATCTTCGATGCGTGGACGGTATGGAACGCTGAATTCGGCAGTCGAATACGTGATGTAGGCTCCATAGTTCGGCCACCTTGCGGATGGTTCTTCTTTTCTTACCGCGGAAAGGTCGCACAGCGTATGGCATAGGCGGAAGGTAGTCTAAGCACAGCGCGGATTTGGGTCAGCACGCATCGTCTCGCAGCTTCTCGGGTGTAAGACGCGTGTTCGGCGGCTCGGTGGTTGTTTGGTCGGATTTGCACGGTATTTTCTCAATTCCACGCTTGGCTGCTTGCTGGCAGATCCTTCCTGCGAACTTTGCGGTTTAGCCGCGAGCGTCCTCATGACCCGCCGATGTGTTGTGTGCCATAAAAAAGGAAGAAAGAAACGACGACAACAACAACAACAACAACATACAACAACAACAACAACAGGCCGTTCAGTTAAAACAAAACAGTAAACACGGAACGCCAAAGATGTCTCAAGACCCTCAGCACACGTTTATTTATTAATGCATTATCGCTAGTACTGACATGACAGGGAAAAGCTGATGGCATCCGTTTGTCGACAAAACGGTGGAAAGGAAAGCGCGCCGCGTAGAGAGGAGGAGAGTGGTGAAGGACCGTTGAAAGTTGGGCGAGTTGGTTACGCATAATTATGAAGAGGGAATCAGCGCCAAAAGTACGGAGGACAAAGAACAAGGAACACGCAGACCCAGCGCTGACTGACAACTGGTTTTATTTCTGGAAAACCCCCTACCGGCGTAGAAACACGAGACGAACATACACGTTCTTGGAGAGCTGTGACACGTGCCCATAGGTGATGGTCTTGTGTTTTTACGCCGGTAGGTGGTTTTCCAGAAATAAACCAGTTGTCAGTCAGCGCTCGGTCTGTGTGTTCCTCGTTTCTTGTCCTCCGTACTTTTGCCGCTCTTTCACTCTTAATAAGTATTGTGAAGGACGAAAGCGAAAGGGACGTGACGTCAAGGGGCGGAAGCCAGCGGAAGCCAAGGGGTCATGCTAAAGCATTCCTTAAGGATCCACAAATGAATCTTTCTCCAATTATTTTTTTTTTGTTTCAATATATTTTAAGGATATTGTGGTGTTGGCACAGAGTTAATTAAAATAGGAAATGTTGCCACAGGAAATAAGTATTTAGGATACGTTTCGATACTTTCCTGTCCGTCTGTCTTTATGATATATTCCTTTTAACTCAGTCTCGGTATTTTGTTTCCACATAAGCGCCTGCCACTGCGGAATTGTACTGTACACGCTACATTCTTTGTCAAACGTTTTGCGAAATACCGCGAATATTCGCAAACAGGCAAATGCACTGACAATCCTGGACAGTCTTTTTTCTTGTTTCTTATATGAGTTAAGGAATTAAGGGAGAAAATGAGACGAAAGAGCGCGGGGACTTCAAAACGCCGAGATCTGATTGGATGGATTAGTGGGTAGACCTAATGCTAGCCGCCTTTGTCTCCACTACACTCGTCGAATGCGTTAGAACGCGGAACGCCGGCGTCCGGCGTTTGGCTATCATTCGAACGCTTTCGACTAGTGCAGAGATACAAAAAGCAGCTAACTTTAGGTCTACCCACTATTCACACCAACCAGAGCTCGGCGTCTTGACGTCACCGCGCTCTCTCTGTCTCCCTCTCTCTCCCTCGGAGTCTCGATGCACTTGGAGCGGTCTATGCTAATTTGAGGATATGTGGCTAGCTAACTTCAATTTCTATTTTGCGTTGATGAGAATGAAGTGAAGTACAATGATTGCGTCCTATTCGCAGCTTCGTCCTAATTCACTTCTTCTGGCCCTCGCCTGTTTTTTTTTTATCTCTGCAGGTCGTCCTCCCAGTGCCCTAGCATCGACGGATCAGTCGTCGTCTACGCTGCCCAAGGTGACATATTTACACTTTAATACCCTGCTGCCTTCCTTTTTTTATTGCGGGCTATTTTCACCTATGTTGCACTTTGTTTTAACTAATAATATTTTGGAAAGAAGTTGAGCCACTGATCTCGTTCTTGTTCTAATTTCTCGTAGTGCAGGTATACACACGTCTACAAATTACGTGTTTTTGTTGTTTTAAAGAACCTGCATGCGCATTTAGTGTTTACAGAGTGTGAAAGCAGGTAAAAAAAGAAAGCACACGCATTTTTTTAAAATTAATTTTGTTCGCTTTTTGTATTTTTTTATTTGGCACTTCAGAGCAATGGCGCCACCAAGGTTTCTCGGACATCTTGGGCCGGAAAGGCGGTACCTTTCTCAGGAGTCTTCGCCAACGGCAAGAAGCACAGGACCATGGACGACTCCTGCCTCCCCATGGTAAGTATGACTGCGCATAGTTTGCCGCCTACCTGTGCTCAATAAAGACTCGCTATACTGGTCCCTCGCTCACATTCATGCATGGTTCTTATAACACGGGATTAAAGGACCCGTCGCAGTAATCGTCGTCTGCTGGCAAGCAAGTTGAGACGCGGCTCAAGTCCTCCAAGGGACAGGAAAGTTCTGTAGCCCTGTTGAAGAGCTTTTTTCACGTGATTGCATTATTAAGCTACTACTCAAGGTTTTAGCTATATGGGTATTTCCTGGCCTCATAGTTCGCAGTAGGTATGCGAAGTAGATCATTTCAGCTCACTGTGCTTGCACCCCAATGCGCCGCGCGTATACGGAGCGGCAGTACGCACTTCTTCACATTCGCACCCTCTTTGAAGAACCTGACGACCTTGACGTCGTCCTAGAGGTTTTCTTGAACGTCGTCTTCAACTTCGTCCCTAAGAACGTCGTCCTCGGCGTCGTCATAGAGGCCGTCCTTGAGATCACCCTTGAGGTCGTCCTAGAGGTTGCCCTAGACGTCGTCCTGAATTTTTCCTATAGGCCGTGCTAGAGGTCGTCCTTGAGTTAGTCTAAGAGGTCGTTCTAGACGTCGTCTTTGACTCCGTCCTCCAGGACGACGTTAAGAACGACGTCTAGGACGGCCTCAAGGACCACCACTAGGGCGATCTCAAGGACGTCTAAGATTTAGCGTCGTCCTAGAGGACGACGCCAAATTTAGCGGAAAGTTTCCCACTAAATTTAGCGCAAAAATTGACGTGATGATCAATGCACCAATTCAGTTTCTCCGCTAAATGTGGCGATGTGCAACGTGTGCAATGTGGCGATGTGCAACGATAAATGCTATCGCATTCATAGACAATCACCCCTGTGGTTTCTATCAATTTGCCTCGACCATCAATCGCCGAGAGGATATATCTTCATGAAACGCATGACGAAGTAGTTAAGGCATTCACTGAACAAGGTCTAGGCCTTCGGTTCATCCATGAGACCCCAAAGGAGAACCATATTCAGTTTAAGACCAGGAAGTTAAGAAGGTTCTTCCATATATTATTCCTTAGGTCCTATCGAAAAACTCAGCAATATCAAGGACCCATGGAACGATCCATGGAGAAACCTACGGAAGAAACTATGGAAGGAACTACAGAAGGTCCTTCCGGGCCGACTACGCCGAAAGATACTGACGACTTCGCCGAAAGATACTGACGACTATACAGATACGATACGATACGATACGAACTTTATTTTTCACCACAAATACAAGTGGTGAATGGGAGGCCGAAGAAAAAGCTGCATAAATGCAGCTTGACGAGGCTCCGGGCCCCCCATTCAGCAGCTACGACGGAGTACATACAGTACACTGGTCAAAAAAGAAAAACAAATCAAATGAAAAAATTTAATATTTGGCTGTTGGACAATTGCACAATATCTATGTTTTTAACAAAATATTCGTTCAGAATAGACGGCAAAGCATAACTTATTTTTTGTTTACCATAGTTTGTTCTACATTTCGGAATTTGCCAGGGCTGGTGATTTCTCGATGAATAATAATCACTTTTTTCTTTTAAATCAGACAGTTGAAGAATTACATTTGAACGTCCTAATGCCGCATATTTATACGCCATCGTTAAACGATAGTTATAGATTTGGTGAATATTAATAATCTTGTATGACTTGAACAGTGAATCCGTATGATGTATGTAGGGAACGTTACCTATTATTCTTAGCACTTTTTTTTGCAATAAGTGTATTATATGCAAGTTTGAGTAAGACGTGTTACCCCAGATAAGGGTGCAGTAACATAAATGAGAAAGATCTGCAAGTATGGCCGCTGGGCGCCACCATTTTGTTGGTGGCGTGCGTCTGATAGTCAAGCCTGGACGGATGGATGGCTGGCTTTGGCTATTCCCTTCGTTACGGGCGGTAGCTTAATCGCGCCACCTAACCTTTCCACAACGCGCTCACAGTTGCCAGGATGGTGCTCCAACAAAGCATTTTGCAGCTACGGTGGCCAGACAAGCTTTTGAAGAGCGGCTCCCTGCGAACGTGTATACTTTCTTGAGATGAACGACTGAAGAGGTGTCAACGTCCTTACGAGCTCGTGAGGGCACCTTAGACTTTTTAGGTGATCCGTAACCTGTAGCAGGGACGTTTAGGGTGAGCGTCTCTAGGGAAGTTTTTATCAGAGTGTTGAAAAGTGTGGTCGCTGATTAATGATTGCTTGCGTGTTTGGCGTCGCAGTCGCGACTAACTGACTGCAAATACAGAAGAGATCAAACTAAAATTCAAATTGTTTTGGCCACGTATGTAACAACCTTCCATCTGTTGTAGAAAGTGCGAGCGTGATGGATGGTGGTTACGGTACCTCTTTCATTGGTTGGGTTAATTGACTGTGGTACAGATCCAATGTTTTTGTTTATTTCACTTATCTGAACACTGATGTTCAGAAAGATATTTTTACAATTTGCCAATTCAAAAAACTACAAATGCCAAAAAAGAAAGAAAAAAAAACTTCTGGAATTTTTTTACTAGTTTCTTTGTGCATTTGTGATCCTTCGAACTGGTAAATAGCAAAAGGATATTTTTTTGACATTACGTATGTGTGGCGTGTATTACGATTGCGATTTATTATTACTATCTTTACCGAGCGAGATTGCTGTCGCTTTTTGAAACTCACTTCAAGCTTCGTGGGCATGTAGTGGCATCTTGTTTCTTGTTCTTAAATTCACAATATTTAGGATGAAAGCATTACCGGTATAATTGAAGTTTGGAGGCATACATATACCTGAACAGAAGCACGAATATGCGATTTTTTGTTGCGTTTCAGGAGCCCGAGAGGATCCTTGTGCCGCTTCGAGGCCACGACTTCACCGGGTTGGGATTCAACATTTGCGGCAACATGCGCGACGGCATCTTCGTCAAGGATGTCCTCAACAGAGGACCCGCCAACGAGTCCGGACTCATCAAGCCCGGTATGCGTTCCACGTACACCCTTCTAGACTTAAATAGAATTGGCAGCGATCTTTACCTTGATCATAATGCAATTACATGCAAAGGTTCAAGCGAGCTGGACAAGAACGACGAAAACAATCTCTGGAGAAGGGGAAGAAGAGGGACAGAGGACAAACACAACATTGGAAATGGAGAGGTCCCGGGTTCGATACCCGGACCAGGCGAATTTTTTCGGTCGCGCACTCGTATCCTAGCTGTGTTTGGAGATTTGTGTTTGTCCTTTGTCCCTCTTGTTCCCCTTGTCCAAGGATTATTTTCACCCTTACCTTCAAAGTCCTTCAATGCATGGAATGCATTAAGGCCCGTTCACACTCTTGCGACCGAGTACGACTGAGAGAGACGAGATCTCTTAAAACTTCTTAAATGTTTTTAGAATGAGGGAACACACTGGCATTGTGGCGCCATCTATGCGGTGACCCTGGAACTGCATTTCACAAGAGCGAAGGTTTTGCGGGATTTCCGAGGTCAAATGTGCGTAATACCCATAGAAAGGCTCGTTTATAACATTGACAAAAGTTTTTCGAGCCAAGAAAGAAAGGATAATGCGCGAGAAATAAAAAAAAAATATATGCCGGACCGCCGAGTTTACACTGCTTCCCAATAGATGGCGCCAGTGTCTTCTCTGGTTTAAGAAGTTTTAGGGAACCCAGGTTTAAGAGGTCGGAAGAGTGTGAACGGACCTTGAGAGAGACGAGATCGCCTAAAACTTCTTAAATGTTTTTAGAATGAGGGAACACACTGGCATTGTGGCGCCATCTATGCGGTGACCCTGGAACTGCATTTCACAAGAGCGAAGGTTTTGCGGGATTTCCGAGGTCAAATGTGCGTAATACCCATAGAAAGGCTCGTTTATAACATTGACAAAAGTTTTTCGAGCCAAGAAAGAAAGGATAATGCGCGAGAAATAAAAAAAAAAAATATGCCGGACCGCCGAGTTTACACTGCTTCCCAATAGATGGCGCCAGTGTCTTCTCTGGTTTAAGAAGTTTTAGGGAACCCAGGTTTAAGAGGTCGCAAGAGTGTGAACCTTTATGGGGAATCGGTGTGTTACGTGCCGTCAATTTCCCCAAGGCGTGTAGGTCAGGGGACGTCACGTGACGCCACTTTCCCCGCTAAATTTAGCGGAAAATGCACGGACGAACGGATGGACAAAATTTTTGGATTGAGGTAACGTTAAGAAGCACTTCATGCTTTAAAATTTTAGGTGATACGAGAAAGAACTAAACTGTATACACACTGTCATCCCAACCGGGATCGCGTTCTGAACCAATATCTTTTAGCACATTTTTATTTCGTGTACTAGGGTTGCTTTAAAATTTGGCAACTGCTTTAAATAACCCTGTTTTTTTTTTTCGTTGTTGTTTGTGCCTAACGTTGTGCAAGTACATAAACAAAGGTTTAAAGGCATATAGTTTTTCTGTTAATAAAAAGATTATTTTCTGTTAATAAAATATTTATTAATAAAAATAAAAAGTATGTGATATCATTCCTTAGGGAATGATATCACATACTTCGTAGTGAAACGCTGCACGATTACACAGGCAGACCACAAGGCTCGAAACTGTACTTCGTTTACTTTTAAGCCAAGCGCAGTCAAAAATGTGAAATCATGTGAAAAATACCTAGAGGCTAAAACCTTAACGTCACGGCGCAATTTCTGCGTTTTGCTGGACTAGATTCACCCTGTCAAGAATACACCCACAGAAAAATGACGAACGCCGTGACGCTGCGCTCTCAGCACTGTTTGATTGGCCCAATCGGCTTCTGTACAGCTTTTCCACAAGGGCGCAGCCATCTTGAATGTCGTCACTACTGGTATGCGTTAAAAGATCGTTACGATCTCTCCACGCCGCTGGTAGGTGTTTTACGAAATGCGTGATCGTCACACATTCTTGTTTGGCCTCACCTATATTTTCTCGCATATTCCAGGTTGAAATGTTTTATTATTATTTCTTCCCGCATACCAGATAGGGAACCCACGTGACTGAGAACGTAAGGAAACGAAAAACGTCTACTCCGTCGGCTGTGCTCTGACTTGCGGCGGTACGAAGCTTAGATTAATCACTCTTAGAAAAAAAGGTGTATTATTACACCCTTTGTCTCATGTAATACACCCAAAAACTTCAGTTCGACGTACAGCGCACTGACGTCAATTTAACGGTACTAACTTTCACGAGAGGCTGGATAGCCGCGTGGTGCAACTTATTAAAATAGTTAATGTACGTGATACTGACTACAAAAAAAAAATAATAATAATCGGGGTTTTCTTGTCCCTACTGCAAAAACCTCAGTGTTTTCTTTCTGTGGAATTTGATACGTATTTTAGCTATTTAAAAAGTTATAGCGCACCGTTATCAAGCCCCTCGTAAAATTTGGGGCCGTCTGTTCGACTATAGTGCGCTGCACATCGAATTGAATTTTTGGGGTGTGTTATATGGAACAAAAGGGTATAAAGTGATACCCTTTTTTTAGAGTGATATTACACGTCTACTTTTTTCTCCGATTATGAATTTCATTATATTCACCTATTACCACCTCGCCTGTGTATACCGATCTTTGTTTTTTTTTCCCACGCAGGCGATCGCATTGCAAGTGTGACAGTCTCCTTCGCGAATATGGTGTACGAAGATGCCCTCACCATTCTGAGTTACGCCTCGCCTTATGACGTCAAACTTGAACTTGTCAAGCCCAACGAGAAGAGCAACCACGGCTTCCCGTCCATCACCGGCTCTGGCAAGCTATCGCTGGCTTCGCGCACCAGCGGCAAAAGCCAGCGTTTGTTTCACCCTCTGTACCGAAGCCAGTCTATCGACGACCTCACGCAGATCGGTAAAGAAAACGGTGCTGCCGTCGGTCCCAGCTCCCAGCCCAAACGGTCCCAGAGCATCGGGGTAACCACTCAGCTGCTGAAGACGAAAAATCTAGATTCGATAGCCAGCGACGGCTACGACACGAGCCCAAAGAACCAAAGGGCTGCCTCATCTACAACAGGCTCGCTGAATGAAAAGGTGTTCACCAGCGCTACTTGCCAAGACAACTTGCAGACGAAAGCAGCAGTGGATCCAGCTGTCAACCTTTTAGATCAGGTGCCGCCAGTCGGCAGTGTTGAAACCTTGACATCTATCGTCGTAACAACTAAAAGAGCCGAAGATGTTAAAGGTGAAGAGGTGACGCCCACAGCATCGGGATCGAAGACACCGGACGTTGCGACGAGGTCGCCAAAGAAAGTCACGACTCCAGCGAAAAGAAAAGCTCCAGCTCCCCCAGTTCCAAATGGCAACTCGATCAAGACCACGGCCCAAGTTCATCATTCCCACGACATAGAACCGGGCAGTAAGGATCGGGGTAGCACCTCTTCGTCAAGCTCGAGCAGTAGCGATGATGACAAGCCGCCGCCGTTACCTGAACAGATGCCCGGTACCCTGGTGGAACTGACGGAGAAAGTTGTTCCTCAAGACACAGAAGACACAAGTCTCGCTTCGGATGCTCCGGTATTCCTAGCGGCCATTTTGGACTTGAAAGAGGACCCTGCTAACACGCAGTTCGAAACGACTTCGATTGATTCCCTGGAAACTGGGAAGGATGACGAGTCGCCTACGAGGAGAAAGGCTTCATCTCTTGGCGACCTTACCGCCATCGACGAAGCCAACAAAAGTTCGCCAACCTTGCTGGAACGAGCAGTTTCGCTAGATTTTCCGGGAAGCGTGCTTCCCGAAGAGAACCTGAGTCATCAAAAGATTCTTATGAAGAAGGCCAAAGACTACGGTGGCTTTAAGGACACTAACGGAACTGGCCATGAGAAGGGACCTTTGCTAGAAGAGGGGTCATCTTGTTCAGATTCCGACGAAGATAAGGCGAAGGCACGTGTTGAAGTTTCGTCTGAGGACACGTCCCAGGGAATGACGCCGCACCACTTGAAGGACTTGAGTTCTACTCCTTCTACTGTGAAGTCCGAATCTTACATTGAGTTGGTGCCCTCAACCGAACGTCAGGTGGACCAGAATGAGCCAAGTCGCACGCTTTTCGTTCGAGAAACGGTCGTTCTGGAAATGAAGCCGAAGCACACAGTCACTTCAGGAGAAGGGACCATCACAACCATCACTCCAAGTTTCGAATTTTCCAAGCGAGTCCTTTCTCCAGATTTCACGGTCGACATCGACAGCAACAACGGCGAGTCACTAACCCCAGTCCTCAAGTCACATTCAAGAAACTCTTCGAGCTCTTCCTTGTCATCGGACGAAGGGAAACACACTTCCAGGGTAACGAGGGTTGTGACCTCCACCCCAGCTCATCGCGTGGTTACAGTGGAGAGCTTTGTCATCCCTGCCCAGACTTCTCCGTCGGAGGCAAACAGGAACGGCAAGGAAGTCATTGAAATCAGCAAGAATGAACTGGATAAAGTCATGCTGTCCCATAAAGACTTTCTGCTGAAGAAAGCACACGAGACCGGGATGTATGCCGGGTTAAGCAAAGAGGACTTCGACGACGACTCGAGGGAAATTGAGTTTGAATCGTGGCACTACACCGACGCAGACGACAAGGAGCCCGTGAACGGGACCAACGGTTCAGGCAAGACAGAGGGACTCTCGACGACAGCTTCGTTCAGCCAGTACAAGACGGCGATCGAAGGCGATAGCACGCTTCCAGCAGAGGAAGTTCTTGTGCCACAAAAAGTGGTAGACAAGTCCGGCTTCCATATGAAGACCGTGGAGGGCCCGCTGACGACGACTGTCATCATATCGACTACCGATGGTTCTGGGGAACCGACAGTTCACGTCCAGCCTTCTGAAACGACTGACTCCCCACCTCCCGAACTCTTTTCGCCGTTGTAGAGGACGGACTTTATGTGGGAGCCTGGACGCAACTAATCCTCAGTGGCCCTAATCCTCGCTGTCCAGCTGCCTCCTTTGGCAAGTGTAAATAGAAGGGACTCTGTGTGATTTATATCGCTGTAAATAGAATTAAGCGTATCGTCCTTTGCTGTTTTAGCTTGAAAGTGGTTGCTCATGAGCACACGTTTATGGTGACACAGAATTTAACTGCGATGTTCTGGGGAACAACTAAGTGCCTAGATGTGACATGTCTTGAGAGGGGAGCCCCTGTCGATAGGAAGACCAGGACGTGTCTTGTTGTTTGTTCGTTAGTTTTCCTGTGAAGGAACCGATTGTGTGGCCTTTGGCGACGTCATTGCGCAGTTGCCGACCGTCGTTTGTGTTGCGTTTTACTTGGGGCCGCGTCCGGACGACACAGACTTTCAACTGCATTTTCATTCTTTCGCGTGGTAGAAAAGAACGCGGGTTGTTATTTCAAATAAATTGCCGCACTCGTATTTAACGCAGGTTTTAAACATTTTCAGATAACAGAGACCTCTATGGAGAGCTAAACGCTGTCCAAAAAATGGTGCCGGTTTGACTGGTGGATTTTGATTTTCAGCCGACCAGCAGACGATTAAGGTCAACCGGAACGTGGTCTAATATACACAAAGAATCGCTACGCGTTGTTTTGACTATGAAGCATCTAGATTTCCGCAGGAGGAATGGCGCTACCCTTTTTAAGTCCAGGAGTTTCGGGGTACAAGTAAGGCTTAATTTATGGGCGGACGATAGCGCCTCCTGGTGTGCGGTGCCTTACAAAGGCCTGCCAATTGAAAGATCATATATTTTACTTGAAGAAAACAGACGACATATATATATATACAACGTATATGACCTCTATTGCTTTTAGTCTTTATCTTTATTTCTTTGGAGTTAACCATGAAACTCTTTAGTTTTCTGGTGAACGACTCCACTTGTTTTTCTTTCTTTTTTTTTCTGGGAACTCCGTATGAGCTCGAAAAAAGAATCGCGCCACTTCTATAAGTCTTGTACGATGGCAACTTTGAGAAGGGCATTTTTAGGTGTGAAACGTTTGGAATTTCTACATGGGTGTTAACATTTTTAATTCCTTTTTGCGTTAACGGTCACATCGAAGTGTACAATTGACCTCTGCTGCAAGACTTTTTTTTTGTGCGTGGTGCATGTTAATGACTAACCTACGTGTTTAATCTGAAATCTCGTTCTAATTTCGTCCGTTTAACCGCATGTAGGAATTAATACATTTGTTGTTGAATGTTTTTCTTTTTAAATGTATATAGGTATATTTAATGTTGAAATAATGACTATACCTACTCGTCCAGTTACCCTTTTAGGACGACTGAGGACTCACCCTTTGACGAGAGCAATAACTGATGTTAGGAACATCCCTCGTGCCTTCAGCTGGCTACGGCAATTACCCGACATTTTTTTTTTTTTTTGCATTTAGAGGCACAAGGGAACCCTTAAAAACCGACGACCAGTTCGTGCTTTCCACTTTTCCCCTCACTTCCGCCCCCCCCCCCCCCCCCCCTTCCTTCTACCCTGTCCACCGTTGCCTGTTTCCTCCTCCCCGATGGTGAGGAGGATGTTCTGCCTTGCAGGAATCTCGAGTCTGGTCGTCGGCCGTTAAGCCGGGCTCACACTGCTCATACAGTATGCAAAATACACATTGTTCGCTGCGCACATGGTGACGCAATTATCCGGGGTCACGGCTCAAGGATGTTCGATGTATGTTTGCTTCCTACATATACACCAACACAGTGTTTCCAAACAAGCCCGCTTTGTCCACACCAGGTGTTGGGCACTGCGCGTGCGCAGAAACCAAATGCGGGAGGAGAAGCGTATGCGCATGCGCAGTATACCGACAACAGCGCCACCGCAGTGGCGTACGTGACGTCAGTGAGTTGAGTTGGTCTATCTGCGTACTTCGAACATGTCTGCAGAACAGGTCTTGTGCGACCAATATGACAGGGGCCGTCCTACTAGGAAGACAGTGTCTGTGCAGACTGTATTTTGTATCGTGTATGGGCAGTGCGTTATAGAATAGCGCGGCTTAAAAGGACCTGTTCGCGAAGGTCACAGTTTATCAACGACGAGCAATATTTAACTTTTTCGGTAATTTTATTTGCGCCGATGGGTTGAAGATGCGCCGCTTTCGGCGGTAAATAAACCCTCATTTTTTTCAAAAGTCTATTGAGCAACATTGGCGGTCGCCATTGCTTGGACACGAAGCACGTGATTGGATCCGAGTCCTCGCCGAACGCCGACGTCACACTCGTGGCCAATAGGTGCTCAGAGCAGGTGATCAAGCAATGGTGGTCTTTCGAGAAAGGCCTATTGTGGACGATTTTCGGCCTACTGCTAAAAAAAGTGAGGTACCCTATAATGTTTATGTTTGTGACAACTACGAATGTTTTTTTTTGTTTGTTTTTTTTGTAATGGCGCAGTGTGTTTTATGTCTGCTAGATGTTCCGTCTGAAAAAAGAAAAACAAGTGTCAAATGCCATTGTTTTGTTTGCAATGTTTTTTGGGCTGTGAAGCACCACCCCCGCGGGAACTTTCAGGCCTGTAAATAAATATTTTTGCCTAAGTGTTTTCTTCTTTTTTTTTTTCTTAAATACACATCCAGGTTTGCGATAAGCATTCGCTTCACAGATGGCGGGGAGCCAGGATGTGCGCGATTGCTGCTCCGCTCGTTACTTCGGCAGACAACCATTTTTACACCGTGCGTCGTGTATAAGCCAGCCGGCAGCAGCCAGGCGGCGCCAGCAGACTGAGAGCTAACGGTTATACCCTGTCTCGTTGTAACTTGGCAAAGGGTGTACGATAAGCCCCATATTGCGTGCCGACAGCTTCGATATGCGCTACGTATACGAGCGCAACGCACACATATTGGAGCATGACACAGCGAAAAGCTTGACACTTCTTCGCAGTAAAAGCGCACTCCGATAATACGTAGTCACGTTCCGATTTGCCCGCCAAGGCCGCAGCTTCCGCCGTAGTGCCATGTTATGCGATCACGGCTTCTTGGCCTACCCAGTATTTCTTGCTTCACACACTAGGCTAAACGACTCCACCTGAGTAATAGCTCACGTTCGAACAATGCTGCCGCCACTTCCAGGCATACCCAATGTTTATTATTGCTTCAGTCGCTATATAGCGCCAAACCAAACAGCATTGCAGGTTGCCTCTATAGCTCATGTTTGAACAATGCAGCCGCCACTCCCGGGCATACTCGATGTTTATTACTGCTTCAGTCGCTAGAAAGCGTGAAACCCAACAGCATTGCAGAGTACTCGTCGGCTTCACTGCAAGTGCCTATGCTTCATTTCACCTTCGGTCCGAGCGCGGCCGATGTTATGAGCCGAAGGGCCAATCAAACAGCGAAACAGGCACAACGTTATGGCGCGCTCTCTGCAGTTGATAGGACGAGCCGGTATTCGCCGTCTCTCTGTGCGTGCTCCTCCGCCGGCTAGTCCTATCAAGCGCAGAGAGCACGCCATGACGTTGCGCTTTTTGCGCCGTTTGATTGGTCCTTCGGCTCATATAATCGGCCGCGCTCGCACCTAAGGTGAAACGAAGTATAGATATTCAGACAGCAAAATACGACATCTTCATGAAGTCTGGAAAAAGCAGCTACAGCATCGCTTATCACCCAGGCGAAAAATGCTGAGTCACTGAGCTGTGGACGCATGCGCAGCGTCTGATCCACCCAACGAGGTAGAGGGGCTTAGAGCGATAAACCGGGGTTCCGGTCTGCACTCGAAAGTGACCCCCCTAAGGCGGCTGCCATTGTACGCAAATTTGACCACTCGTCACATGACCAAACCAAAGATGTGACGTCACAGGAAAGATGGCAGCGCCCATGCAGCGGCTGGCCCCAGCTGGGCCGGAACATTGGCCGGAGCTTGTCGGATGCTTTCTTCGTTGTCGTTCGTCTCGGCGAGTTGATTTCAAACGCAGAAACCGTCATAGGAGGCCGGTAAAAAGCGACTTCAGGGTTCAGCGTGGCGTCTGACGTAGGTATAACGTGAAAATACGGAGGAACGGTGTGCATTTTGCTAGTGACCGACGGGGATATTGCCACGAAGGAGACAATCGGCCCTACGTTGCTCGGACCTCGAATTGATTCGGACACCGCTAGGATAAATTTTAAGCCGACGTTCTGTGCTCTCGTTGACCATCGGAACCTTCGAGATCTGCAGTAAAGCGTGTGCAATATATTTGGATACACAGTTTAGCGACGGAAATTGCGTGAGTCGTGCTTGGCAGTGTGCAATCGTGATGCCGCTTCGTTGAAATGACCGAAGGCTCACCTTGGTTGTGCGGTGCACCGGAGAACTAGCTGCCTTGCCGCTTGTAGTTCCGGTGCCGTGCTAAATGATACTGTGCTGCTTCCCAAATTGTTCCGGCGTAGACGTGCACTTCCACGGAGCACAGGTGTGCGGCGCGCCGAAGAGCTGCCTTCAAGCTGGTAGTTCCTGTGCCGTGCTTTAGGTGATGCTGTGCTGCCTACTAAATTGTTCTGGCGTAGACGTGCACTTTCACGGAGCACAGGTGTTGCAGTTGGTATTGATTCCGCTGGTCTGTCGTGCGTTTCGTCGACACCAAAGTTTCATCAACACTCGTTGCGCGAACTGTAAGCTGTAGGGACATTTCATCGCGCGTGTTACCTACCCAGTCCACCCGTTCACGCCGCTTTGCGACGGCAGTCTGCAGCGGCTTATTACCAGAAAAGTGGTCCCACATCGATTTCAGTTCAGTTCGTCCACGGCAGTCGCCAAACCCCGAGGGAGAAAATTTATTCGGACAGAATGCCACTAAAGCAATGCAGCTTCTTTAGTGGTCAGGATAGACTGTTTTCTGTCTGTTTTGTTATATTGTCACGGATGCTTGCTCCAGTCCTATTTTCCTATCAATATTTACTATTCTGGAAAGTTCCAGGCCATGCTCAGCTGTCATTGTATATTCTGGTGGAGGTGCTGCACACTTTACCCATAGCCCTTCACTCTGTGTGGACCCTGGCGGCTCCTCAGCCGAGTTGCCCGATAACAAGACACGGGTGGCACATTATCCCGAGTCTTCAACCCCCGGCAAGCCGTGAACCAAATCATATCCCGAGCCCGGCAGAAAAACTGCAAGACGAGCGAGTACCACAAGGACGAAACTCAGAAATACACCACGAAGAACTTGAAATCCAAGCCAGTCGTTGCTGCCAGCAAGGACCACCGGAATTAGGTATTTTGCCAGAAAAACCGAAGCTGACTAAGCCAACAAGGACAAACCTGTAGCAGCAAACCACGTCCGCTCCCACCATCGTTTGCATGCCCGTCGCACCTCGCAGTCTGATGCCCTTTCACGCAAGGTGCATAAGACGTCGAGGGCTGGATTGAACAATATGACCGTGTTGCCCGCCACAGTGGGTAGATGGACAACCAGCTCCTGCAGAACCTATACTTCGCGTGGAAGAAATTGCGAGGCACTGGTTTGAGAACCGCGAATCCTCCTTAACGTCGTGGGAAGTTTGCAAGATCGAGCTGAAGTGTACGTTCATCAGCCAACACTGACGAGAGAAAGCCGAATTCCTGATTCTGTTGAGGACACGGCCCCAACGAGAGCGTCACCACCTTCGTGGAGAATGTTTTGCTTCTGATCGAGCTCCCACGCCAACCCTGATGCTACAGAAGACAAGAAGCTAAGAATCCCATGTCCCTATGTGAGGGACAACACCTTCGGCAGCCTTGTCCGCAACCCCACGACAAGAGTCGAAGGGTTCATATCAATGAGGCTTCCAACATTGAATGTACACTGCGGGCCCGAGCCTGTCACTATCAACAACTCCCCAGCGTCTCGACACTCGAGTCATCCAACTGCAACTTCGACGCCAGCCCCCCAGGCATCCGTGACATCATCCATAACGGTGTCCGGGGAGAGATAAGGAAGCTAGTTCCTGCCATCAGTTGCCCGGCTTTTATTTTGGTCGCCGAGATTGTTTCAGAAGAAGTTCGACAGGCATTTCAACTGGAGACTTCTTCGAACGAAGCGGCATCTGACGAAACGAGAGCGACTTATGCCACAAAGTCACAACGACCACCACCGGCTACCTGTTACTATTCAATGCCAATTCAACGAAACACTCCAACGCCGAAGCATTCCCGACATCGAGAAGAACCAGTGTAGGTCCGCGCTGAACAAAGTACACCGAGGAAAACGGAGGTACTGCGAATGGCCGACCGAAAACCACTCTGCTGCCACTGCATGACGCCGACCATGTCTACTGGAGGTGCCCGTACCAATGAATTGGCCTGCAAGGGTTCGTGCCGAACGACCCTCGACCACGTCTCGACGAGCGTCCGGGGAAGATTGAGGATTATCTTCGGCGGTCTTTGTCCCTGGTGCTGACATTACCCCGAAGCTCGTGATCTACTTCATCTGGACGGGAGGTAAGCACGACAAAGCAGGTGAGCGGCAATGCAAGGAGAGTTGATCAGGTGTCGGTTGTCGTCCAAGGACAATACCTAATAATTTGCTGACACTAATTATCTGTGTCCACGCCACGAAGTACACAATTTCCCACTTTGAGGAAGAATGCCGCTCAGTGACGTTAAGAAATAGAATGGTTGGTTGCTCTCAAAAGAGGACTGCAAGCATCACGAGACTTCACTTTGCCACACAAGACTTGCACAAGTTGCAGTGGTCGTGGGATGCACAATAAATCTCCATTACGAAATGGAAGTGAAATTGCTTGGATAGCAAACAAACATTGTTGCCAGCTATCAAGTCAACTGTACAGCAAAAGGCACAGCCACATAACCAATACATGCCCGAGCTTGCTGCATTGATGCAGAAAACTACCAGGAAACTTTTGCGGATTAGAAGCCAGCCCTGCAGCTTCAGTGCATCAGATGTCAGTGGGTGCACATGACGTGCGATTACAAGACGGCATCAGTTGGTTAAAGTTGCTACTCAACCAAACTGAACACCAACGTGCCAGGAGCGTCCTCCCACGACAAGGGCCACAAGTACTACGACTGAACGCCTGACAGAAGACTGTCGCAGAAAGAACTCGTTGTGGAACGATTTACTAAGAATCACTAATTGTGTAATCCAGTGGAAATAAACATATTTGATATACTAACCAGATAAACATATTTCCGCTTGCCTTTACGCCTTGAGAGTTTATACACCAAGAATTGTGTTCACCGCATGCGCAGGTCCTTTTGAGGACACTCGCATCTCTGACCCTTCTATATTAATTAATGGGACATACCAGACTGCCAGACTTGTTGCATTGGGCTGCACTCATTCCACTTCTCCTGAACATGTGGCACATCCGAAAACCAACTCCAGTGATGTGAAAATGTTATTAATTTATTCCCTTCAGGGGCCTTCGTAGGCACTGCAGAGAGGATACTTAAAACTACACACATGATAATAACATTAAAGCACACTGCTGTAACTTGTTAATTGCAAAAACAAACACAACTCTGAGCATATACTTTAATAGTATGTGTTGATGCATTGTTATATAGCAGGACACTTCCTATACGTATGACACAATAGGCCCTTTGCAGAACCCCATCAAGCAAC